TCGCCGAAAGCAATATCGGTTATGTGAAATTTTTCGAAAGTTTCTTTCACGTACAGGGTGTTTCCTTTCAATTGCATTAGTTCGAGCTACTTTTCTGCCGCTTTCTATCATTCGCCTTTCATTTTTACACCGGACAATATCGATAAAAACATCGAATATATGTACATATATTACAAACGTCGTTACAACGGCGCCAGTGAAGTGTAAATGGTTAATTTCTGAATATTCTATTCAAGACACCGGGTACGTCTGCATCCTATAAATGTGCAGAGATGCGGTAGAGTGTGCGTTTCACTTTAGAAACACATTGTCGTCCGCTGTATCGAGGCGGAAAAGAATATTCTCTCGAGGAATGGCGAGAAAGAGAGAGATTGGTTAGAATTTTTGGGACAAAGGAAATGTAGCCGCACGAAGTGGAATAGCTACGTTTCTCTGTAACAACGACAGAGTTGGAGGAGGAGGAGGCGGAGGAGAGGACGAAATGCACTGCAACGACTGCTACTTCTACCGTGCACGCGCGATATTCGACTAACTGCGGTGACCCGCATCCTTGAATCACCAGTTTATTTTCGACCGATTGATGTATGTATACGGCGACCGCTATTGTTTAGCGTTAAACGTGGCTCAATCGCACGATTTCCTGAAACTTTGTTCCTAGATCCGTTGCGTGGATGATCGATACACATTTGGTTTTCCGATTATCGTCGATCGTTGATTGTAAATTATAAATTGTCTGAAAAAGAAAATAGAAAATGTACGTAAACTTGAAGCTTTAGATTCTAAAGTTTAAGTATATAAACGTGTAGAAGAGTGTTCGCGTGATACATTGTTGTAAAGTAAAATATACTGTGCCTGGCTTGTAGAGAGAGTTCAAGGGCAATCAAGGTTAGATTATTGCGTATATTCTGTGTAGAACGAATTCTGTTAGGCCGTTGAACCTCGAGATTGATGTAACGATAATTCCAAGTTGATCTTGTAACACCTGTAACGAGTTGCATCGAAGAGACAACGAGGGTTTCTTTTTTAATTGATTTGTTTTTCGTGTTAGAAATGTGTAATTTACTTTTCTACTTTTACTCACGAAGATACAATTCTTGTTGCAGCATTTTTATTCATGGTCGTGAACTTCATATTAACCACGGCGTCCCTCGCTATGGTGCACGAACGGGTGCCGGATCGAAATACGTACGGTCCTCTTCCGGATGTGATATTGGACAATGTCGCCGCACAGGATTGGGCCCTCAACGTGTCGGAAGTTTTGATTATGATTATGTCCAACTCAGCGATGGTTTTTATTATTTTTCATAAGCATAGGTACGTTGATTGCGTCTGTGTAATATACATCGATAGACGTGTTTTTCGGTATATCCCCTTATTTGTCTTGTAAATATGAAGTTTTGCTCGACAGGCATGGGTCAGAAGTAGAACACAAGTAACTTTAGCATTAGTACACCGTAACAGCGAAAAAGTTTCGAGACGGTTATCCTTTTAACTCCGCTTCTCGAACTTCTCTCGCGAGATCATCCTTTTTCTCTCTCCCTCTCTTTCTCTTTTTTTTTCCCCTGTATGAACTTCTCCTCCCGCCGCCTAAAGCGGAGCTAAGAAGATAATCCTCGGTTCTCGAACTTTTTCGGTAACACCGGGTGGTTACAGGTGGTACACCTTTTAAAATTGTTCTTTGCGTTACGAAACATCGTTCATATTGGTTCTTTCAGGTTTATCGTTGTCAGGCGAATATTTCTTTTGATGGGGCTACTGTACATGATGCGAAGCATCACGATGTACGTGACAGTACTGCCGGTCGCCAGCAGAACATACTACTGCAGCCCGAAAGCGAACAACACGAACCCACTTCTAATTACGAAGAGGGTACTACAACTCATCTCTGGCTTCGGCTTGTCTATAAACGGCAAGCACACTTACTGCGGGGATTACATTTACAGCGGTCACACAGTTGTGCTTGTACTTAGTTACCTGATTATCAAGGAGTGTACGTGTAACATTCTATTGCAACATTATTATAAACACTTGACGTACATCTAGTTAGAGATATTATTTGTTTGCGAGAGATTAATTAATTAATTTGTTTTCAAACAAATGCAGATTCTCCGAGAAGATGTCAACCGATTCATTGGCTGGCGGGCATTGCTGTTCTTGTTGGGATAATTATGGTATTGGTGGCTCACGGACATTATACCGTGGACGTCCTCATAGCATACTATGTAACTACACGCTTATGGTATATTTATCATACGTTAGCAAATAATTCGCATCTTAAGGTAAGTTGGACGCTCTTTCGCTTTAATTTTATCTTTCACTCTATATTTAAATGGAAAAAGAATAATAGATCGTTAACGAAAATATAGCGAACGTTAATATGTCTTTGCAGCAATACGAACCAAACAACTTTTTGGCCCGACTCTGGTGGTTTCCTATTCTTAAATATTTCGAGAAAAACGTGGGCGGCACGGTGCCACGACAATATGACTGGCCTTTACCCTGGCCTCGACGATTCCTTGCCAAGCACCCTAATCGGGACAGTTAATGTCCATCCTTCAGTTCACGATAGAGGCTGTCAAACAACGGAGTTACTTTGTTGTAATTTGTATATATATAAACATATATGTATACGTACCTAGGCTTACAAAAAAATGTGAAGATAAAGCTTTACTAGAAAGTGGTACGGGATATGTGTGTGTGTGCGTGCAAGCTTTTGTCAGTGTTAATAAGCACGTCCGGGTCTCGGAACTTGACGAAAGTTTGCGGTGTTCACTTCCTTAAGAAAAGAAGAAAAACAACAGCAACAAGAAGAAAAAAACGAAAAAAAAAAACAAGAAAAAACTGTAAAACACGAACGATAGTGAAAACAGATGCTTGTACCGTCATGTTCGTTATCGTCCAATCGCGAAACCTATTTTTTTCTTGATTTTGATACGACTTATACATACCATGTAAGAGAGATAGATAAAAAAAAAAGAAACGATAGATATCGAGATATTTAGTCTCACATGAATTCACTTAGATGGAGGTATTGGAGAGTTACCAACAAATTAGTGTATAAAAATAAATGCTAGATATCTCTATTTTCAGATACTCCGAATGTGAATGAGGAATACTTAGATGTAAAAAGACAAAAGAAAAGAATCACGCTGTACCGCAATTCGATCGAGCGTGGAAACGCGATACAAGTCTTGTTGAACGTAGTATTAACGAGCAAGAGGCGAATTCTTTTATAAACTATTCCTCGTTTGAACAACGACACGCATTGGAAAATTTGAAGAGAAACAAAAAAAAAAGCAGAAGAAAGCATCGCTGCAATAAACAGAAAAAAAAAAAAAAGAAATGCCGAAATTTCGTTTGCCGCGCGATACCTTCCTATGGCTAATTTGTTCGAAACGCGTTCTGATCTTTCGACTTCCAAATAAACCAAGACGATGTCGTTCTTTATACTTAGAATACACGGGCGGCATGCCTTATTCCGATGAAAGTGAACCGAATGAATCGCAACTTTCGATATTTCTAATCGGTCAATTATTAGTTCGTTTCCCTTTCTCTCTAGTTTTTCTCATGTCGTAGCTATTCCCTCGAAATTGGTACCTTCTTTTAAAATGCACCATTTTTTACTACACGGTTAGACGGTGCCGCAGAATTGGCCAATAGTTCAGAAAAAAAAAAAAATGAAGGAAATTCACCCGATGATCGTGCAATTTCGTGGGACCAAGTATAGAGAACAGTCGGAAACGTACATTTTTTCGTGTAGCGATCAAGAAAATAATTCTTTTTAAATAAGCGAGAAGATTGATTCGTAGTTGACAATAGAAAAACTCGTGAAACACTGTTTAGAAAAGAGAAGAAACGGTTTTCGAACGTTCTTGCTCTACTTTGTAGGTGATAATTTCCGATGTTGTCATTGGCGCGTTGCGTCGCGATGTGTTCTCTTCAAAGATCGACGAAATTCCTTGTCTATGACCGCGTGATTAGAAGCGAGGTGTATTTACACGTGCGCATACATAACAATAAGTTTCGTGATTCCTCGGAATAAGGTCGTCTTTACACTCTACATACACCAGATGTTGTCACGCATTCGTGAAGACGGAGATGTAGAATCGTGCGAAGAGAACTAAAAAGTAGAACTTCGCAAATAATTTACGAGGACAAAGATTGAAATGTTCTTCAGCAGTTCATTCTCCCGCACGATTTCTATCTGACACCGATCTTCTGTCATCTCGCTAACTCGCAACAATAATTCTTCGCGGTTCTTGCCCCGCTATGTTTGTCGGAGCATTCTTCGGTTTCATTGTCATTTTTCTGCGGGCTAGTAGCACAAAAGCGCTTTGGAATCTCCTCGGTGCAGGGGTATAAACGAAGAACGTTTTAAGTGAATCTCAATTGTTCGTTGAGGGATGAAAGGTTATTGGACTTGTGAAAGAATGGTGGACAGCGTTGAACGACACTTGAGAAATCTGTGCATATACGCGATCATTTGTTGTCTTCTGTGAGTCACGATTGTATTGTTAACGCCCGTGCAGAGCTCTTGTCACTCGTCGTACGAGTTGTCCACGTTTCAGTGCGTTTTTCCGCGGGCTGTACAGTCAGCGGAGCGATCGAATATCGCCGTAAGTAAGCACATACACGGTCAACGGACCCGTTTCTCGCTTTAGAAATGTTTTTCCGTTCCGACGCGCACGTGGTCGAACGAATCTGACGGTCGAACGAGAGAGAGCAACGAACGAGAGAAAGAAAAAAAAGAAGAAAAGAGCGAGACGAATTGAACGGAATCTGTTGGCCCTTATTACGTGTAATTAAGTCTTTTTCCGTCTGTGATGATAAACGAAAAAAAATAAGAAAACGAGAGTCGTTGTTGACCGAGTTCTCGAACGTGGAACGGGACGCGATCACGAAACGATTCGTATGACGTGCCCGTTGCAGCCACTGATATTTCTTCTTAACCCTCTATGGACCATTCTTTCTTTATATATCTAAATTAATTCAACACGTAATTCATCTTTGGTCTTCAAGGAAATTTTAATAATTCATTCTTGAAATAAGAAAAAAACAAAATCGTCAAAACGTTCGTTTTTTTAACGGTAATCAAGTATCTTTTGGAGTTATAGTGGTTTTAAAATAAAAAGAAGAAATATGAATAACGTTAATGTCTCGATAGCGCATGCTGGACCGTAGGGGGTTAAATACGTTCATATAGA